ACACAATCTATCAAGGCCAAAGGTCTTGTAGGATGGACTTCTGGTTCCTTTTCACAGCCGATAACTTAGAAGGGGAACTAAACAAACAGTTGTTGAATTGATTAAATACTTGTCCATCTTTGTGAAAGTTTAGTAAGACTGGAAGAACTTGGGCAGTGCCGGACCCTCCTTCCGGCATAGGGAGAGGGTCTCCGGCATTGAAAATCTTCTCTTTTTAATTATAACATAATCACAGAGTTGGAAGGCACCTTGGAGGTCATCTAGTCCAACCCCCCTGCTCAAGCAGGAGATCCTATATCATTTCAGGCAAAAGGCTGTCCAATCTCTTCTTAAAAGCCTTCAGTGATGGGGAAGGAAGGAAGGAAGGAAGGAAGGAAGGAAGGAAGGAAGGAAGGAAAAAGAATGCGAATAACGGAATTGGAAGGGTCCTTGGAGGTCATCTAGTCCAACCCCCTGCTCAAGCAGGAGATCCTATATCATTTCAGGCAAAAGGCTGTCCAATCTCTTCTTAAAAACCTTCAGTGATGAGGAAGGAAGGAAGGAAGGAAGGAAGGAAGGAAGGAAGGAAGGAAGGAAGGAAGGAAGGAAAAAGAATGCGAATAACAGAATTGGAAGGGTCCTTGGAGGTCATCTAGTCCAACCCCCCTGCTCAAGCAGGAGATCCTATATTATTTCAGGCAAAAGGCTGTCCAATCTCCAAAACTTCCGGAGTTGGAGCACCCACAACCTCTGGTGGCATGGAGTTCCGCTGATTAATTGTTCTCACTATTCTCTTCTTCCCTTTGCAGGAGGCCAGTCCGGAGAGAAGGCGTTCGGACCGCTTCAACAGCCTGTTCAGCGAAGACGAGCTGATCGAAGATTATTTCAAAGAGGAATCCGCCACTAAGTGAGAACCTTGCCCTCCTTTAGTTGTTTGGGGGTTTGGAGGGGGGGGGACTTCAGCTGGGATGTTGTCGGGCAGGGTCCCCCGCTTCTCGGCCCAGGAAATCAAAAGCATGGCAGGTAGTCCGTTTAGTGACCATTTCAGGTTATGACGACACTGGAAAAAGTAACCTAGGGGCGTTTTTCACAGTTTCAAGCCTTGCCTCCTCACTGGATCAAAATGCCCATCAACCAACTCGTATTTATGACGGTCGTCATATCCCGGGGTCAGGGGATCCCCCTTTTGTGAGTTTCCGACAAGCAAAGTCCACGGGGAAGCCAGATTTGCTTAACGACCTTGTGACTCACTTAACAGCTGCAGCGATACACTTAACCGCCGTGGCAAGAAAGGTCGTAAAACGGGGCATGATTCACTTAACACCTGTCTTGCTTAGCAAGGATAATTTTGGATTGTGACTCCCAGAATCCCCCAGCCAGTGTAGCCGAGCCCTTCCTCCTCCCTTAGCTCCGATCCAGGATTTCCAATTTGTTTGGAAGAGGCTGTGCAAATGAACCACCCTTGATGCTCTGCTGCCTTTGAGGAATGTGCTGGATTTAATGCTCCTTTGCTTTTTATGCCTGTTGGTGAACCGGGGCCTCCAAGGCTTCCAGGAAGGGCCTTTGCCTTCAAGGTGCCTCCAAGAGGGGCAGGTTTGGAGGGGGAGCAGAGGGGTTTAGGGGGAGGTTTGATGAGCCCAACAGACTTCAGGGTGGTTAGGAGTGTAAAAAAAAAGAATGATAAAATATTTGGAAAAGGACTGAGCCAGGTAAGTCTCCAGATCTGAATGAACGCCTGGATACAAAGAGAATTTGAAATGGGGGGTCCTTGGAACGTGCTGGTTTTCTTGCAGACGTTTCATGACCCAACTAGGGAACGTCATCAGGGCTAGGAGGGAGGGAGGGAGGTTTGCAAGGAGGAGGAGGAGGAGAAGAATTATGGGGTCCTTGGTGCTCTCTGAGCCTGGTGGTTTTCTTGCAGACGTTTCATGACCCAACTAGGGAACGTCATCAGGGCTAGGAGGGAGGGAGGGAGGTTTGCAAGGAGGAGGAGGTGGAAGAGGAGGAGGAGGAGGAGGAGGAGGAGGA